TTGGCGCAACCCCTTGAAGGAAAAGTCCGTCATGTGAGAGCAGTGACATATATGTATTATATTACATATATATATATATATACATGCACTCCATGCACCATTACTCCATAGAACTTCCCGATTGCCGAAAAAGCGACAAGGTGATCCCTGGCTTCGATCAAGGCTTGATGGAGCGCCAGGACTGCTTGGTCCTGGGCGCTGGGGGCATCGGACAGAACGTGGCTCTCACTTTGGCCCGCTTGGGAGAGTCTTGGACAAATACGGTGGACGAGCAAAGATGAGGATTGGGGACAATCATTTTTGTACAGGGCAGTTGTCGTTGGATGTTGTAGCTGAGTTTGTTGTTCTTTGCTGCTTTCAGCCGACAATGACCGCAGCATGGTCTTATGGCCTTCAAGGTCCGACGCATCACCCTGGTTGACAATGACCTTTATGTGGCCAGCAACCTTACGAGGCAATGCCTGGGAAGCATCAGAGACGTTGGCAAGCGGAAGATGAGCTGCAAATAATGGCAAGTTGTTCTGGAAGGGATCTATATATGTATATTATCTACACACACAATAATACCTTGACATTAATATTATGTTCCATTATGTTTCCCTTTCCTTTCCTAAGCATTTTGCATGCTGACAACTTGCTTTTTATTTGTCATAGTGTTTGTTCTAGCTGATTGGTTTGGGTTTTGTTTATCGAGGCCATGGTGCATGTCAATTGTTGTATATGTTCTAGTGTTCCTTGTTCAAATTTGTTTGCCCATCGCTTGCTCAGTTCTTCCTGGTGCCCTTTGATTATCACCGTGTTTTCGCACGCGCATCCTACTCTCAACAGTGTTTTTCTTGGTCAAGTACTTTCTTCTATTTCTTGCTTGCCCCTTTCTCTTCATAGATGCTGTGATTCTTGAGAATGCTGAGGAGCTATGATAGGAAGGCATTGCTCATGGTCATCAGGAGCTACACAGCATGAAGCAGAATTTGATTTGCCTTAGTCCTGTTATTTTGTTTTTTGGTGGTCCCTTTTGATTAGTCACTCTCCGACTTGGGCCCCTACCATTTCTAGTTGGCTTATCATTTTCTTTGCAACTCTAAGTCTTTCCCTGCTGATGCTGATGATGCCTTTTACTTTTCCTTCCCAGTCGTCTCAACAGGCTTGCCTGTTGCTCATCTTTTGATTGGAGATTTCAAGTTTGGACCCATACCCTAGCAGACAGTAGCTGGATACAATAGTTTGAAGCATTTGAAGCCCCTATACTGTACAGGAATAGTGCTTTAAGGCTTTAAGCCAACAAGAGGAAGATTAATCGGCAATCTACGCAACGGCAAGCATGAAAACATGTATTTTTGTTGTCGCTAGTTGTTCAAGACTCTAAGTATGGTAATGTGTTAACATAGGATATTTGACAAAAGGACGGCATGCGAATAGAACTCCCCCAAAAAGGCGACCAACAACAAAACATCACTATTCAATAGCAAAACAACCGAAAGCGACTGCTTTGGGAGACATTTGGAACACACGTTGTGTATTTGTTGTTCTGGTGCAGATTTTCACGGTGCTCATCCACATAACCAAAACTACACATAATAAAAGAGCCAAACACATCTTTTGCAGACTTTTCCCAGGCACTTGTTTATGATGTGTTCTGTTTTCGAAGCTTTGTGTTGTCTTTGGGTCAAGTCAGGAAACACATGTCATGTTGTTTGGTAGCATCTCAAAAAGAGGAGGGTCTTGCAGTGCTCCAATCGCTTCTTCTGGCTGGCATGTACTTGTTTGCACACAAAGTCTGTTAATGAAGACATCTTATGAATTGCCAGGGTCACAGAAGCAGCTTAGGTAGATCATCGGGTGTCCATATATATATATTACAATATATATATATATATACTATACTAGACTATACACCTACACGGGGTTTTTGCAAGGCTTCAGATGGTTTCAGGTGTTTGGGGGTACCGTGGTTATGCTACTTGGAATGCTGAAATGGAATTGTACCAAAATCGTACATGTACAAGCCTAGATCTAAGATTTAAGATTCAGGAGGAGTCTGCGATCGAAGGTTGGATATTGAAAGCTGAATGCAACAACAACCTTGTAGAACATTGTATATACGCTTATACGCGTATGAGGTGGTACTGGATGCTTGCACCTCGGATTTGATTCAAAAGAATATCACCCAGCCAATGAGCATCGACAATCAAGAGCAAGGGGCCTGATGTGACCATGGTGAAAACACCATCTAAGGAAAGTGGATGTGGCCAAAGCAGGTCTGGAATCTTCTCACAACCTCCGTTCCGATGCACGGATGCAAAAACATTGGTCCAAAGGGACATGATTTCAACATTTCAGCTACTGTCACCGCAGGACAGTAGCTGAAGCTCACTGGTTGGTGCACCCCTTCCACTTCGGAGACAGCCCCAGAGACTTTGCCATTCAAGAGGGGACTTCCCAGGCACATGGAAAGTGCAAGGTTCCTTTGATCGAAGGTTTGGTGAAACGAAGTGGCGCTGCAGCTGGTATTTGATAACACCCAGCATGTAGAAGATGTTGGCATAGGGTGCAGTGAATTCATGAATTGCATGTTGCAAGCAACATGTTTCCTACAGCAAACAAGAGGTTCAAGTCTTTGAATGCTTGCACACTCATGAAAGGGATGATGAGAACTGAACATGTCCCAATTGTTTCTACCGGGCACTGTGTGGCATGTGTAATCTTCTAGACATCATGTGAATGTTCTCTTCAAGTGGCCGGGAGTTCTCACAAATGTGATCGTTTACGGTTGGGATTCAGCGGTTGGAAGTCGGTTTGGGATGACTTGCCTTTATGACTCATAGATAGTCATCCGAACATCAACTGAATAGAATATGGGAATAGACTAGAACATGGTCAGAGCTCTGTGACATATGATTTTCTGATATGCTGCATATGCGATTGATGTCCGGCTTGCTGCGGCTCTCGAGTCGGAATCGTGCGGCCACAGGAAATTGTGGCCGTGCATTGCGACGCCATCCTGGAATGGGGTACAGTGGTGGAACTTGCACGGCAAAGCACCGTGGTTTTCAATGCGATCGACTCAGGAGTGATGTGCCTCGGTGGAGGGTGCTGAGAGAGGGAGTGCTCAAAGAGGTGGTGTCCCTGCAGATCCCTGCAGCTATGTATCGAGTCGATCAATATATAACAGGTTCCATATACAGGTCAAAATGAATACTTACCAGCCCCCAGCACCAGCACACTGGAATGCCAAACGCTTGGGAGCCTTCCTGAAACAGACCCGTATCGCTGGTCTTAATGAGATTTCAGGAGATGCAGAGACATTCCACTTTCTCACTGCTCACAAACACGAGACCTCAAAATGACTGGAGCATCGCCTTCTCACAACTGGTTCCTACGGGTTGTCCTTTCACTTCTATACATTGTTAAGGAGGCTGCAATTGTTTGGACGTAAGACAAATATTGACATATAAGCATCGCCTGTTGCTTGGATAGACTTTGCACATAATGTTTGCACATCTTTGCAAGACATCAAAGACGTGTTGGACCCCACATCCGCCAGGTGGGACTTCTGTGTGAATTCCCTGTGCAAAGAGTTGGGACTACCACTGTGTGCTGGCCAGTCCTTTGGATGGAAGTTCATGACCGTGCCCTGCTTGCAACTGTGTGTTCAGCTGTCGATTTGGACATCAGGGGACTGCGGAAAGCGTTCTTTCAATTGACATCAATTGGCAGAATAATCATAGATGAGACATATATATATATGAATATGTATAATATCCAAACGGTGTGGCGAATAGGATGCTGATGTTTCATTTTCCCAAGAAACATGCCGGCAGGAGCTGTACACGGGCAAAGTGGATGAAGTTTGTGCGTTTTGCAACTCGGATGAAGCTTGAGTGGTGAATGGTTGAACAGACATCGTCCCTATTTGCGGAACACTCTCGGAAGCTGATCATGGAAGCTGAATCGCCCTTGCACTCGTGGGAAATGGGATATTGTCCCAGCATCGGGCTGCACCCCAAGGATTTGGGGCAGAAGATGCACCAAGTTCAGGTGTCAGACAAATTTTGGCCTTATGTTGTGATCAAGCTGTCTTGAGGCTACGATTCCGTTTCATCCACCTTTGCCACCAACGAGAAGGCGCTGCCATACGGTGCCACAACCAATGTGTTCAAAAACTGCACACTGCATTGCCTCGTCTAGAAACGAAGACGCAACTTAGTTAATCTTATTTGTAGCTACCCACAGGCATACGTCGAGGCTGCTTGTCGAGACTCCGGACAGCACCTCAAATTCCAGGTCCAAAAGACTTATCAAAGAAGAATGATCATGGTCATTCATGGTCCATGTCCATCCAGCTGAAGTGCTCTCCCACCAGCTTTTCATGATTTCATCCCCTCATCGCCTCAAGGCGATCACACGCCCGGGCGGCGTGCTGGACCGTCTCCAAGTGTCCTGCGCGGGCTCGTGCGCGGGGGTGGAGGAGGTGAGGCGCTTCCTGACCAGCGATCGGCACCCTGGAAAAAGGCATTGAAGAGAAAGAGGAAGGACACCAACAAACAACGTACCAACAGATCGGGAGCTGGGTTTGGCGGTTTGGCATATCGGAGGGAGGTTTGGTTGGGAGAAATTCCGAGGTGAAAGGATGTTGTGCCGCCAGGTTTGGAGTCCTTTGAGGTACTGTAGCTAGTCTATCCAGCAACGCTGGGTGTTTCGTGCAATATGTTGCGACCTCGAAAAAGTAAAAAGCAATGCAGCAATCACGGTACCATGTCCAACGTCAATCCTGCAATGCATGCCGCGCGGTTTAACACATTAATTAAGTATTTGCACACCTAGCTCTCGGCTATGATGACACCTGCAACACCCGAAGAGGTGTCCCGTCAGGTCCGCGTGCTGAAGCAGTGCTCGTTCGTGGCACTGTGATTGCTTCGCTGTCGGTACCGTTATTTGGCCTTCACGATGTATATGTAGCTGTTGAACTGTGACGAAACTCGAAAGGCTGGAAGCCTTTCGGAACATATTGCCCAGCGAAGTCGCTGCTTTAAGGCAATTCCGCTGCCATGAGGGGCAACTGCTGAATGAGATTTTGGCGGGCGCCTTGCAGAGCGTGGGAGGAACATGATGTCTTTGGCAACGCATGTCGAAAAGATCATTTGCCAAGCATGACCACAGATTTTGCCATCTATGGTAACACGTGTGGCCAACAACCACCACCTTTGACACTGTGTCGCCCGCAAACCATCAATTACCAGCTTATTATTGCGATGTATTATGATCTATGTTTAGTCATTAATGTTCTTCAGAGAACTATCTCCCGCTTTGAGATTCAACCGGAGACGCAGGACAGCTCATGCTCGAGTGGTCCAAGGTGCTTGAGTTGGGGCCATTATGGCTATTCGGGTCATCACGTCGGCGTTTGCAAGGGGGGTCCCATAGCAAAGAGGAAGATGGTGAATGTTGCTCCGGATGTGTGGTATTGGTGTATTACTCCTTCGACCCACTTCATATGCTGCTCTTCAAGTCAGGCTAGAGAATGCCTCAATCTGGTGTATGACAGTTAAAGAATGGGTCAAGTCTTGGCAAGACTGGCTTCAAAGGCAGGCACTTCAATGCAGTTTTCACGGCAGTGCTGCCAGGTGCTGCAGTTCCTACAAGCCTTTCAGCAGGCAAGCTGCAAGCATCAGAAAGCCTTTCAACTTTATGTTGATTGTAAAATGTTTCACTATAGATGTGAAACACCTAAGCTGCAGAAGGTGAGCAAATAGGTGTATTGTTTTGGGAGGCCTTGGCACTGAGCTGCTGGGAAGCATTCACAAGCAACCCTGGTCCAATCGCTTTTGATTCTGGGGCACGATGCGGTCTCGCAAAAAGCATTTGTGCAGGGACTCCTGACTCCGGAAGATTTGAGAGCTAAGACAAGCACCTCTGATCATCAGACCTGCTGGCATTCCCCGGCAAAACATATAAACTTTGAACACAATAAAAGAAAGTTCATATAGAAGATAAACAAAATCAGATCGCGGATGAAACTCGTCCCAGAGTTTCTCGTTTCTCTGCAGGACATGGTCACCAGACTTTTGCCCGGCCAGATCTCCAAGTTGCACTCGCTGGGGCGGCACGGCTTCGGTCGCCACGTGAACCGGAGAGTAGTCGGAGAAGGTTCGAGTAGGTGGTCTTTGGCTCGAACGAGTTCACCACATATCATGCGGAGTGGTTTGGAGTAGAGGAGCTGCTGATCGTCACAATTCCTGCATACGTGCACTTCGTTTGAAAGATGAGATGTCAGATGCATGTGAGTTTGTAGGAAATATAAAGGCGGCAACTGTGGATTGCCGCCCCAGCCGTAGCCCAGCAAACCTTTAATTTGGAAAAACATTGAAAACACATGAAAACCATTGTTCTTTGGCCTTGGATTTGTATAGAGCCAAATCTGTTGTCGCAAATGACTGGCGACATTTGGCATCCGTGTAGGCGTCCGTTGCACATCACAAATGATCACATGTTAGGCTGTGATGGTGTGGCATTCATATGCGCATTTCCGTATATGTATGTTTGCCATTAATTTGTTCTTGTTGTTGGCGGTTGGTAATGGTGTTCTGTTCGATGACATGTCGACAGGATCCATAGTTGTGCAAATGCTGAGTATTGGCATGGAAGGAAACAACCATATGAAGCATGCCGCACCTTGGCTCCTAATAATAAACCAGGAGGGGCGTCCTTAGAAACAGGTAGCTGCAGGTAGCCGTCGTTATTCATGATCAGTGGCACTGTTGCGCCACGCCTTTGAACCAACAGCTTCCTATGCTACATGCGCCAGGGATGCATGCACATGCTGGTTTGACACAGAACAGGGCTAGCAAAGAATCCAATATGAATATTATCCCACCATTGCACGATTTGTTGATTTGTTTGCTACTTTTCCCAGCCAGCCTAGGCATGTAATGTTGATTCATTTTGACGAGATGTAGCCGAGGCATGTTCGGGAAGTTGGGCATCCTTGAGAAGAATCCGTGTCAACACGTTGAAGGATCTCCCCTCCTTACCCTAAGCCTGAAGCCAGAAACTTGTTGGGTTTCCATAATTCATTGATCATAAGACGCAGCCTTTTGGTTACCTCGCTTCAGCTATGTTGGGCCCTTTGATTGCTCATCCCAGGTTCATCCCACAGCCGAAACACGCGGAGACGCGCTTCGTTGGAAGCTGGGTTTGCCCATGCCTCTCCTGCGCAGTGACTTTCTTTGCAAGATGTGGACAGTCCAGTGGCTGCAGGTGGTTCAAGTCTCCCGCACCACCCTTTGACAGCAGGTGTGCCATTTTTTTGAAGTGGACGATTGATATATTGCTCCTTTAAGATTTTAAAGTCATCTTTAACCTTTCGCAGGTAATTATTGATTGGACTAGGTTCTAGCTTCTAGATGATATGAGTCGTTTTCAAAATTATTGCCATTTACTTTATACAAGGGCGTTTCATCCAAGAGTGTGATTTAATGTTTTCCTTGGAAAACGATACGGGACGTCCAAAAATGGCCCCTATTACTATAGTAACATGCATTAGTTCCTTGAGTTTTTTGGAGTTCATTTTGGTATGAAGTCCTGCTACAGCAACTCTTCTGAGCATTTCTGCTCAAGGGTCACGGGTCTGAAGGGCGTCACTTTATGAACTGGTTTCTTGCAAGTGTCGCAGGCAATGAGGAATTGTGATTGCTTGTGTTTGGAGGGCTGTGTCCTGGCTGTTGGCTCATGGGCTGGCCCCAGCCTATGAGGAAAGGCTAGGCTCCACCACTGAACAAGGTACACGCCTTTCTCCGCCTGTCCAAACCGGTTGTTTTCTCTTTGGTGTAGCGTGGGCGCAGCGCGCGTGCTTACCAGCAATTTGACGTCATATATGAGTCATAAAGCATCCAAAAGTCCACATCAAAAAACGATACCCCAACGATACACGAGAGAGCGCAAGAGGGAAGGTCCTTGGACGGTGCCCCATGGGCAAGTCTGCAAAGGTGCAGGCAGGCTTGTGTCTTCTGGTGAAAGAGACAGATCAGCAAACGAGTGGCAGAAGCCAGCAATGCTGTGCTTGCTGGAGCAGCCCTTTGTGCTGTTGTCCTTCCTCACTTCACAGAGCTCGTCGCACTTCCAGTGTTTGCAGGGGATGCTCTTAGATCATGAATGACCACGAATAGGGGTTCCTGTGTTGTTGCTTGTGCGTTTGTGTTTGTGTTTTGTTTGTTCTGATCCTTGATGTTGGTTGTTGGTGGCAAGACTCCACCATGTGAAACATGTATGACCTGCAAAACGACACATACACCCCCCACTCTACCAAACATTGTAAAGCGACACGGGACGTCCTAACTTTGAATGAGTACGGCTTAAGCAAGTAAATTAGAAACAACTCATACAGCCTTGCAGATTCCCCACTTAAAAATTTTGACCGCCAGCATCCCCCTTGTTATTTCCCCTAGGAGATGGTTGGAGCCAAGTCCCGTAGAAAGGGGATATGTTCGAGTAACACATGGCCCATATGTTGCTGGAGCCCCACCGTGTTCTATAAAACAGCTTTTTAATTTATGGTACATCATTTGTTTTACCACACTTTAGCAATTCCTAGAGGACATGTTTTTGCTGTCTGATGCTTGACAATAGTGGGGTATGAGAATAGGCTTAGGTACAAGAGCACTTTCTAGACGCTTGGCAAAGGACATTCTAGAATGGTTGGTATCTTTCCGTCACCTAGCATTTTCTAGACAGCATTTTACCTGGCCATAACCATGTACCAGACAAAGGTGAATGCCTCGTTTTTCTAGTCAGAATGGTCCAGCCAGGTTTACCTTGAAATATTTAGGGGGGGCCCACCAGCACTCGCATGTATTGTGCAGACTGATGATAAGTCTTCCCATTGGAGAAAATTGGCGGATTGATGGTGGTCAGAGCTTTTGCATGAGTTGGCATTTAGTCCCCATATTTGTTTCATGAAGTTTCCCACATAAAGTGGCAACACGTGCAGGAAATCGGCAGCCTCCTTTTTGGGGGTCCGAGGTGACGATGGTCTCACAATGGTCTGGCCTTCTGACAGCACCGCAGGTGCGAAAGAACCGAAGAAGATCCCCTCGGGGAGGACACGAGTCCCCGAGACAACCAACGGTGGTCCAAAAGACGTCGGCAACGTATGTTGGAACTGTCGATGTGTTGCTCGTGTGGCTGAAAGCCGGTTGATTGGGATGTATGTGGTGATTCTTGTGGCCAGGTGGAGGAAGGTGTCCCAGAGACCCTGATGCCGCAATCCATCACCTTCAACTTGGATGCTGGCATGACTGGCGAGGAACAGCTGGGTGACTTGGGCAAAACATATTCAATATCGAAGTGGGTGCTATGAGAGCAGCGCATGCTGGAGAGCTCGTGAGGGTTACTTTGGGCTAGATTAAGTAAAAGTGTGTTTTGTTTCCTGTGTTGGAATGTGAATCTTCGCAGATTTGCAAGTTCTCACATCCTGGCCGGACCATAGCTTGTTCAAATGGTGACCCACAAAAAAGAAAACACACTGGTCAGCATGGTCAGCTTGCTTGCTTCATGGTCGGGAAAAACATGGAAAAACGACAGGGCTGCAGGGAGCGTTCTTCCCATGTTTGTGGATTTACAAGGTAGTAAACCGATCTCATCCCAGTGCCTGCCTCATGATGAAATGAAATTTGTTTTGAACACTGTGTGGCGCGACAACGACCAACTTCTCCTGACCTGACCTAACTTGACCAAATGGACTGGGCTGGTCTTTGATGAGCAGAGACTCAGAGACTTGTGGCCGATGATTTTCAGGTGGGTGAACTAACTAGCATGAAACAGGTTCATTCTTCGGTGTTGGAACCAGAGATCGATGAATCAATCCTGCTGACGAAAGGCATCCAGATTCCATGCATTTGGATTCCCAAATCCAATTAACATCTTGAAGCACAGACATTATGTGACATTGTTGTTCCAAGTGTTTCTTTTCTCCTTCGTCGCGAGATCCCTCAAAACCTCTAATTAAAAACAAATGAAAGCCGCCGGCTTCAACCGCTTGACTGGAGGCTACGAGCTGGGCGTCCTGGGCATGACCCTGGACCGCCAGGAACGCCGCTTTTGCCGCGATGCCTCGGCCGGCAGCTGCCGCGTTTGCGCGGCCGCGCGCAGGCGCCGCACGGAGGAGGCGCTCTTCGTGGGCGCCAAAGAGGTGGCGCTGGCACCAGTGCAGGGAGAGGTCACTTGGTAAATGGTGGATTTGAAGTCTCATGTTGGGAAGAGTTTTAGTTCTGAGGGCTTGGTGTGCTGGATGGGTCTATCTCCGAATCGTCCATTTGATCTGTGACACTTGAGACCTTGACTTTCTTCGATGGCGATGCCCCAGCTGCTGCTGGGGCAGCTGGGGCTGAACTGGTGGAGCAAGATCTGCAAGTGGGTCCAAATCTGCCGTCACGAGGGATTGCCTGGGAAAGTATGGTATTGTGGTTGGGTGGCGTATGTCGATGTTTCTGAGAATTTCATTTGATTCGATCACACAGTTTGTATGTAGATCACGGCAGCACGACTCCCCTCTCCTTTCTCCGTTCGGGTTCGCCCTGTTCTGTCCGCAGGAATCCGGGGTTGGGCAGCAATGAAGAAACCATCACGTGGGATCACGTTGATTTGTTTCGTTGTTTGTTGGATTGTTGATGTGTTGGAAGACGGAGACCCCCCCCAACCGCGCCAAGCTATGTTTCCATCCACAAGACCTACGTTCATATCCGTCCATCCTGAGGTTTACCAGCTGCCACAAAGCTGGTCCTGCTCCTCTGACCTTTCAGAGCTTCTGGCGCGCCGCAGTCACCCCACAGTGGCGGTCCCCGCGCTGCCTGCGTGGGACTGGCGGCCCGAGAACCTCGTCCCTTCAAGGAAGCCGACGGAGGAGTGGCCCCTAGAGTTGTGGACCATGCCTTTGATGAAAGTGCCGCAGATGCTCGGCGTGCTAACAGCTTTTGGAGGCCATTTTGCCTTGACGGGCTTGGTTGTGATTTCTAGACTTTTCTCAGGATGCGTTACCGTTACATAATTATATTGAATAGTTTTCAATATGATGACATATATTGTCAGTGCTCAGAGCAAGTAATTTTTGAAGATTCGGCAGGAAGAGATCATCGTCCTTGTTTAGGGTCCGTAGTGGGGTGCGCGACAGAATGTTAAATGTGTTATGCGACTGTTTCAACTGCCCATTCCGACGATACATAATTATATATTATATATTATATATTATATATATTATATATATGGTTTCGGAACCTTAGAGAGCGGGTCAAGTGGGCTCAGGACATGGAGCAGTGTTTTGATTGAGATGTAAAGGAGGAAGGCTTTGATTAATGGAAATGGATGGAAATTGAAAGAAGGGTCTGGTGGACCATCCTCCCCCTCGCAAGCGCCAAAGACTCACGATCTTTCGGGCAACGTGGCCCGTCTGCGATTTGGCCCCTCAACAAACGGAAAAGTGTGAGACTAAAGAACACATAGACAGCAAAGTTAGGCCTCTTCAACAATTTGTTTGGACACCGCTTGCATTTGGGGCCATGGTGGGTGGCTCTGTAATTTCTTGGGGGGCCCGGGGTCATGTCGCAGTGCCCACCACTGCTGGCACTCGGGAATTTGCTGGCACAAGCTTTGGAATTCTGCATGATGCGGTTTGCTTGGATTGCTGGCTCGGATGTTCGGCTTTTCATTGTTCGTGTTCGTCAGGGTGATGGTGAACAGGAAGAAACATGCCTGCCTTTTCAAGGGCCTTTCGGTTATTTCATGCAATGGCCTCTTTGTGTGTGGCCAGAATGTGGGCAATACGTCTAGGACAAGGCCCAACCCAACACCAACCCAGAACTATGTCCAGAACTATGTCCAGAGCTATGTCTATGTCTTAACTTATGGCATGTCATGTGTCACAGATGATAACTATGGCATATGTCATGAACCATGAGTCATTTCCTTCAAGCCTCACACTAAACCTCTCTCAACAACCCCTCGATGCACGCGCTCTAAACCTTTTTTGCCAACAGCCACAAAAGTAAACAGTCAACGAACTCCACCACCTGGCCAGCACGATATCATCCAATTAGACTAGATGCGTTTCTTTTTGTCATTCAGGCAGTGGCCACACACATATATAGTTTTTTGATGCCGTGACCGCTGCCCTTAATGGCACGACAGCCTTCAAACAAATGATAGTGGCTCCCTTTCTGAGTTAAAAAAATTGCCTCAGGCAGGCCAGCCCAATCAGTTGTACGCACTGCCTGGGCCTGGTTTGCAGTACTCAGGCCAGAAATGCACTTGCCTTCATCACCCAAAGATTCCTCTTCAGGTTTCTCACACTTCTCATATTTGTTCTTTTTCACTCTCCGATTGAAGCATTGTTGGAAGCACTTCTCCAACACCAAGCCCGATATCACCCCCACAGTAAAGCACAGCATGAGCATGGCAAAGAGGGCTGTCATGGCGATCACAAACCACATACAGAATCAGAATGCAGAATTAATGCACTACCTCGAGAACATTAGGACTCTGGACATTGGACCATTGGAGGATTCCTTGTGTTGGATTCATTGGATGCCTTTGTGAACCCTGGACTACATGTTGAAATGCACACCATCCAGGCTACCGCTGCACTTGATCGCTAGACGCGCACAGTGAAAGTTGCCATCTACAACCCGAAAACTGTTCAATTCGAGAAGAGACACGGACGATTGCACAGCCCATTTTTTTAATCTGTATCATCTGGCAATGTTTGCCATGGTTTGTTTGGCTGAGCGTGTGACCAAAATCAAAGGCCCAGTGCCAGTGCTCAACAGAAAACATGTCGGCCTCTTCTGGCAACATGCGTTACCCTGCAACCAGCACTTAATCTTGAAGAAGTGATGTCAGGGAAGACATAAACAGAGTTTAGAGTTGGTGCAAACTGCAAACTTCAAAACATAAACATAAACTGAACATAAACTGATCCCCGGCACTGGACATGGCACCTCACCTCACCGACTAGCTTGCGAACAAGAGCTTTGCAGGACACTCGATGTGGCTGCTTCTGGAGCAGCGCCAGTGTGGTGAAGCTCCCAACCGCAAATGGGTGACGTGTCAGTCACCCCAAGAGCCAAAAATGAGAGTAGGAGACTCAGTTGAGTTTGACATAGCATCCGAATCAATTTCCCATGATCCACTCTGGATCCCATCTCCCGGTCCAATCGAAATGGATGACCCAGACTCAGCATCACTGTGAGCAATCAGTGCCATGCTCCTCGGCACATCCTGGCACACAGGCCTGAGCCAAGAAGGACCCCAACAGCAAAGGCCACCCCTTGCCTTTCCCACACCCATGATTCAATCTCTATGATTCAATCTCTGTCTATGTGAACGTAGGTGTGCAATCTTGTGATATACACCATGTGATGTTAGCACGGTACAAACCATGAATCCTAAAACCAGACAAAATTTCAAATTGTGCTTGATCACACTCCTTGCGAGCTTTCAGCAATGAACAAATGTCAAATGGCAGTGATTGAGATCGGTGTATTTTCAGCGGTAATTTGATAAATGATAAATGATACAGTAACTAAATACGAAATCTGACCCCACTTACCGTGACAAGCCGCTTGCCCTCCATCCCCAGTGGCAAACCAAACATAAGGACTCCACATAGGACAGCTCCGACCACCGATGTGGTCATTGCATTTCCTGTCAAGATGGCAATGCACAAATGGCAACAAATGACAAATACAATCCACTGGACTGTGACCGTCTGAGAGTCCTGACCTATTTGACTCATCCAAACGACTCTGCAGACTCTGTTTGCTGCGTCGTACAAAAACTGGAAACTCAAGACCGACCAATGAAAAAGGCGGAGGAGCGCATACCGCATACCAGTGTAGGTGTTTGACCGATCGGGAGTCTGGAGCTTATGCTTAGAAAGTCTGACTCAGTCTGACCTTCTGACTCCTGACACATCAGTCAACTTCAGCCTTTGCCAGCCTGAAGCCTGAAAGCCTGAGTCTGAGTTTTTGTTTGCGCTGATGCAGTGCCGTGCCCAGTGCGCAAAAAAAGTATTGGTCAAATCACAGCAACTTCATGACATCTCAAGTTGCCCCCTCAGCCTCTTGCCCTGCCTGCCAATTTGGTCAGGAAACTGCTGTCCCCGAGTGAACAATCAAACTCGGCGACGTCAAATCCCTGTCCGGCCATCAGTGCCTCCAGACTCCAGAGTGTCAGTGGGAAGTTGATTTGGGACAGTTCACAGTATGAGAACATGAAGCAATGCTGCCAATGCTCATTTGAAGCAATGCACAAAAGCAAAAACGACATACTACATACAAAAACCCAGCTGACCAGCTGTGAACACTGACACAAAGACAGAGTACAGGATGGATGAACTCCCTTTCACTGCCGGTTTCCGTTCCGTGGAAAAGTTTGGACTCGGACTCCTTGGCCCTTGTCAGGGCCTTTCCAAGAGACCATGGACATGGACCATGATTCATGATGAATCGATGAATCACTACTACACATCAGGATTCAAGGCGCAATCCTAGAATCCTCCCCAGGTCATCCAGCATTCAGCATTCTCTGCCAGAGTGACTACTTCTTCTGCTTTTTCACCTTCTTCTCCTTCTCCGCCTTGTCCGGCTTGGATGCATCGCTCTCCCTCTTCTTTTTATCTTTCTGATCTTCCTTCTCCTTAGGCTTCTCCTGGACGACTGTCGATTTCTTGGCCACTTCAACTTTGTCCTGCAAGACTTTGGGCAGGTTGCTGCAACCAAGGCCATAGTACCTTTGTGAATACTTCTCTGTCTGAGCCACGTCCTGCTTTCCAGGATTGCCGCAAACGATGAGGTGGGCAAACACCAGGATGTTGCCAAGTGCACTTGCCGTCCCCACCTTCGCCTGGAACTTGGCCTGCCACTCATTTGCCAACTTTGCCAGGCCTTGAATGTCCTCAAATGGGCTTTGGTACTGAGCAAGCTTGGATAGGTGGTCAGAGTATGCAAGTGCATCTTTCCGGGCTTGCTTGAGATTGGAAAGGTCCTGCTTCACTTCACCCTCGGTGTCCTTCATGAAGGCCCACTCGATATCTTTCAAAGTCCAAGCCTCCACACACGGCTTGACTTCGCTGTACTTCTCAGAAAAAGTGTCCAGGGGATTGGTGAAGACATTGCCTCCCTCCTCAAGAACCTTCTTCAAGTGCGAGACGAAGGTTTTTGCAAAATTGCCACACTCCTTGTAAGCCTTTTCAAACGCGGGGTCATCCAGATCCAGCTTTCCAGAACTGACTCCGGCTGCAGCCTCCGCGATGTCCAGCTTGGCAATGAGAGAATCAAGGCTGCCATGATCCATTGTCAGGATCTGTTCACACTCCTTGGGCCAGGGCACCTGGAGAGCGTGGATTGCAGACTGCACATTCTTTGGCAGCAAGCCAGTTATCTCGGATGCCTTCTGGCCCAGCTCCAGCTCATTCTTCATGGTGGCAAGCACAACTCGGGCACCAGCCACAGATTGCAGCCTCCCAAGCATGCCCCTGAGCGCGACCACTGCCTTCTTCACACTTTCAGCACACTCTTCTGTGGTGTCGGTGTCAGGCAGCCGAGCTTTCCAAAGAGTCTTGAGGCAGTCCTTTGTGTAGGCCAAGATCTTTTTGAGGGAGTCAGCAAGTTGCCCGCTTGAAGCGCTCTCATTCTCATCTTTAAAGAAGGGTTCAGTCTTCTCCGCCCAGTCTGCAATGACACCAAAAGCTTCACTAAGCCCACTTTTGTTGTTGATGTCTGCCTCGAAAATGCCTTATGGGTACGCTGCAACAAATGAAGCTAAGCCGCCGCAAACAATTCGGCTACCCCAATTGAACTTCGACAGCTCAGCAATAAGTAATATGTCAACGAAAATGTCTTTGTATTTCTACAGTGCTGCTCAACTGATCACAAATCGCAACTTACACACAAAAC